AATATATTTGACATGTTTGTATATATGGTAATAAATGGAAAATATACACTATTTTTTCCAGATTTTGTTAGGAATATCAATATATTTGACATGTTTGTACATATGGTAATAAATGAAAAATATACACTATTTTTTCCAGATTTTGTTAGTCCGACTAAAAAATGCAGAGTTTTTCACAGTTTTTCTTAGATGAGGTTCTAAAGGGTTAAGACGGGTTGAAGTGAGCTGGTTTGTCTGCACGATAAAAGGCAAATATTCCTGTTTCCAGTGTTTACACTGTCTTTAAACCCATTTCCACAGCTCTTAGTTGTAGATGCTCAATATTCAAGCCAAATTCAGCTGTGTGACGTGACTCAAAGGAGTGATACACCTTTTTTTTTTTACCACTTATGGTGCATGAAGCTTAGCTTTACCATCAGAAAACACAGAAAGGAGGAGGGGGTGCAGATGGGAAAAAACACGCACCTGTTTGATGGAGCTGCGGGTCTTCTCCTTCCACTGGTGGCTGCTCAGCTCCAGGGTGCAGTGGATGTAGGTTTCTCTGTCATAGGAGCCCAGGATGAACAATCTGCAAAGCACAAAAAAACAGAGCAAAGCAGCGGTTAGCGCTGGGGTCATTTCAGGCCACATAAGAACAGGAAATTAGCTAAGAAACTGATCTGAAATGGCTCCATTCTGCATTAGTGTTCACTCCCATTATTTTACATCCCACTGTGGGCTGAGACGGTTATGATCTGAACCATAATACACCCGATTGGAGAGCATTTTAGAGTGATCAGTGCACCTTATTATGCTTTTTATCTGACCACTAGTGCTGCACAATTAGTGGAATAGCAATCGCGATGTTATGCTGTGCATCGCATAAAAGACTGAGATTTGCAAGAAAGAAAACTCTTTCTCTGACATTTTGACAAATAAAGACATTGAGCATCGCCTACGTGAAAATAGAGGCGTATCAGGACAAATCGTACAATGAACGGGACTGGTCACCTGACCCGGATTTAATTCGGTACTGTTAAGATTAGGTTTTGTATTTTTTTGGGTGTCATGTTTGCATGTTTTCAGTTGAAAAATATACAAAATGATTGTAATTGTCTTTGATATTAAAGCACGCAGACTCATGACTTCGTTCATTTAGGATCTCGTAATCCCAAATGGTATATAGTCAAAAAGAATGGCACATTTTCATCAAATCGCGCAGCACTACTGACCAAGTGTAAACTGAAATGTAAACTTTTCAGCTTTTATGGGGATTCAGGGTCTCTGAGGATGTAATGGCACGTAGACTCAACCTGATATCAACAAAAAAGTGACGACATGACGGCCAGTAGTTCCTTATTCAGGCACTGTAAACGGTTTGACACACAGACGTGTGACTGCATTTACGTCTGAAAGGCCAGAGCTAGGGTTGTCAAAAGTATTGATACTCCAAAAAGTATCGATACTAAAATGTTGTATCCGGATACGATACTCATTTTCAAAAGTATCGATACCACCCCCCTTCTCTCAGATTTATTTATGTATTTTTTTACGTTGTTTATGGTCATTAACAAGACGTTAGCCTTGAACCGCTAACTTCGGCTTATGGCTAATAATAACGCGCTACCATTAATCAAGTACATATCCAACTCCGCCCACATCCAAGTCACCAATAGGAAGATCCCAGGCAAGAAAATGGTAATGCCTCATGGCAATATAGACATTGATTTAAAAATAGTGAATTTAATCTTTCAAACACTTAATTAAACTCTATACATATTATTATGTTAAAATAGTGGATGTTAAATAGGTTTGTAGAATAAGTCCAAACAAGTTTAACCAAAAAATATTTATTTCTCACAATTATGAAGGCTGTAGGGTTAGGATTAGGGTTAGGGTTAGGGTTATTAAGGCGGGCCACCACTCACGATAACATCTGTAACAGGTCAGTTTGAAATGAAAGACACTAACCTGTCAAAATTCATTTAAATTTTGGGGTCTTTTTTTAATCCTTGTGGTATCGAAAATGGTATCGTGTATCGAGTATTTTCCTGAGTATCGGTATAAAGTTGAACATTTTAGTATCGTGACAACCCTAGCCAGAGCACAACCCAGGAGAGACAGCCCCAGGTCTAAGGAGCACCCTGGGGTCAGGGCGGTTGGGGTGTGTGGGGAAAAACGTCCTACCTGCTACATTCGATGAGGGTCACTTTGAGCCGGCCCTCCACCAGCTTGCTGTCCTGGACTGACAGGTCCAAATCGCAGGTGGAAGCCAGGGGGGGCTGAACTTGGAACGGAAAGAAGGGCTTGTATCTGCAGCAGACAAACAGAAAAAAATAAAATAAACAAAAGATTAGGGAGACATTCCTGGAGGAACAGTGTGAAGACTGCAGCTATGTGCTCAGATGTTAGACTGTTAGCTGTTAGACCTGTTTTTCTTTTAAAAAACACATAATAATGACGAGAAAAATGCGCCGGTTATCCAGCCAATCGACAGTGGTGCTGAACAGAAACTGGGTTTTGGCCACAAATCCCCTTTTTGAGTGTTATCAGGAAGTGTCAGGGGTCCTTACATGCTGTGATGGTTAGATATTCTGTGCATGCGGCCATCTGATAAGATGCCGTACACATGTGTAGCGCTAGTTGAAGAGTGATGTGTGTATTTGATGAGTTTTGCATTAAACATCACAAAATGT